ATAATACGAGAACAAACTTGTTGATGGTCGAGGGAGATTTAGGAGGCACTGTATTTCGTTTCAAGATGAATGTATATTCTGATCATAATACGAGAACAAACTTGTTGATGGTCGAGGGAGATTTAGGAGGCACTGTATTTCGTTTCAAGATGAATGTATATGTACAAATGAAGAGAAAATATTTATCTAAATCCTAAAACTCCTGTAGCAAATATTAACGAATATAGTCCTTATAATAATTATTTATATGAAATTCAGAAAATATTAATTCTTTTTTTGAATATAAAAATGACAGGGATCCTAGAAATTACATATATATATAGATAAAAAATCACTATAAAAAATAAGGGCTCATTAATAATTTATGCAAATGTAATATTTAAAAAGGATTTCTTATCAAATTTTTCAACCTGAAAAAAATAATAAATATTTGAATAATGAACAATTGATTCAATATATTAAAGAGATTAAAAAGCTTGAAGAAGATTGTATAGGATTATTTGTTTTTGATAATAGTCCTACGCATTTAAAATATGCTAAAGATGCTCTTATTGCTAAAAGAATAAGATCAAGAGCAACTTAATATGATCCTAATAATCCTAGTCAAATACAAATGATGATACTGTATATTCAGATTAAACTTCAAAGGAATTAAAGATGTTTTAAGAGAACGTAGATTATGGGATGTTTTAAGAAAACGTGGATTATGGGATGTTTTAAGAAAACGTGGATTATGGGATGTTTTAGAAGAACGATAACTTGACTTATCATTACTCTTTCTAATCGTTATGATGCAATCCGGACCCGGAACTGCAAAAGGCGATTAGGTTAAAAATTATGTGCAGAATGTAAGATTAAACATTTAATCCAAATAATATTCGAAAGATCGGTAATAGATTTTAGCAATCTGGTTAGATGGAATACGATATGTTAATTATAATAAAGCATATACGGTCATATAAAGTAGATATTAAGATATTAACTCATTCATAAATTTATTAGACGTGTTAAAAGAAGTTAAAATATTTAATAAATTAGTGTATAAGATTTATATCCTCAATTTATATTCACATGCTTAATAAGTTTATAAGTTATGTACAACTAAAGAATAGTAAAATAGATGGACTAACCCAAAACACCGCAACAAATAAATATATGTTAATATTCTAATGAAATAAAAAAAACTCATCATGAATAATAGTTCTGGCCTCAATTAAATAAAAAAAATAATCGTGAGTAATAGTTCTGGCCCCAATTAAATAAAAATTATCGTGAGTAATAGTTCCGATCCCAATTAAGTAAAAAAAAACATTATGAATAATAGTTCTGGATCCAATAAATAAACAATCATCGCAAGTAATAGTTTTGGCATTAAATACAGTAAGAAAAATAATCAGAAGTAATAGTTCTGGCCCAAATTAATTAAAAAAAGTCATTGTGAATAATAATTCTGACTCCAATTAAGTAAAAATAATAATGAGTAATAGCTCTGGCCCTAATTAAAGAAAAAAATCGTGAATAATAGTTCTGACCATATTAAATAAAAATCATCGTGAGTAATAGTTCTGACCCAATTTAATAAAAAATCATCGTGAGCAATAGCTCTGGTCCCAATTAAATAAAGAAAATCATTGAGTATAAATAGTTCTGGCCAAAATTAAATAAAAAAAAATCATTGTGAGTAATAGTTCTGGCCCCAATAAATTAAAATTAAATAAAAAATCATTGTAAATAATAGTTCTGGCCCAAATTTAATCAAACATCATGATTAATAGTTCTGGTTCCAATTAAATAAAAAAACTTCGTGAATAGTTCTGGCCTCAATAAATAAAAATCTTCATGACTAATAGCTCTGGTCCCAATTAAATAAAAAGGTTATAATAAATAATAGTTCTGGCCTTAATTAAATAAAAAAATCATTGCGAGTAATAATAGCTCAGGCTCAAATAAATTAAAATTAAACAAAAAACTTTTATGATCAATAGTTCTGACCCCAATTAAATAAAAACATCACTATGCGTAATAGTTCTAACCCCGATTAAATAAAAATCATCGTGAGTAATAATTCTGAATCCAATAAATTAAGTTTAAATAAAAAAAAACCTTTGTGGTTAATAGTTCTGACTCAAATTAAATAATTAAAAAATCATTATATATAATATTTCTGGCCCAAATTGAATAAAAAATTATCGTGAGTAGTTCTGGCTCCAATAAATTAAATAAAAAAATTTCATGATTAATAATCCTGATCCGATTAAATGAAAAAAAAAAACTACCGAAAACATTCGTGACTATTAGCTCTGGCCCAAATTAGAGTTAATAAAAATTTTGTATATATATTTATATGATTGCTGAATTGTGACTGATGATCATAGTAAAAAAAAAAAAAGACCACACGTATTATATAAAATTCAAATTAAATTAAACTTTTGAACTACTGAAGTTATGCAAGTAAAATTGCTTTCGGTGAATTCCTATTAATATTCGCTTAAAGTAATAGAGCCTTTTTTTATTATCATAAATTGTGATTTAGTAATCAGTTTTCTCTTAAACTTATATGAAAAATAAAAAAAGAGCACTATTACTTTAGAGAATGTTAAAAAAATCTAATAAATATAATTTTGCTTGCATCTTTTAAGTAGTTCGGGAGTTATTTCAATTTGAAATTTTATGTTTTTGCTATTAAGAGGAGCAAGATAGAGTAATTTAGAAAATATATAAATCACTAAATCGACATGAAAAATTGAACCTGAATATTAACAGTACAATAACTGATCCAGTTCCAATTAATGGTATGTCAAGCAGTGCAATACCAACTATTGATAATGTAACGTATAACGTTCTTAATTATCGCGCTTTTCAAATTACTGTGTCCGCTGATTTTCATACATCACACTGGGAATCGGAAATCTAGAAGAAATGCCAATACGTGATTAGCTAAAAATTATTTTTAACCAATCACAAATTTGCATTTATTCTAGATTTCTGATTTCC